TGGCCGATTCTTCTCAACTTTTGAGACAGGTGATTCAGAATTGTGGTTTAGAGATAAGGAATGTTTTGTAGGTTTGAAGTTTGGGAAAAGTATTTTGGGGTCCGTTAACCCAATAAATATAAGATAGTAATATATAGTATGTTGAGTTTAAAAATAAAATGATCTTTTAATGACATGTATTTTCATGCTGTCAGAATGTGCTTTTATGGGATGGGAACACAAAGAAAATCACAAGTATTTCTGAAATGAAAGAGAAGAGAACATAAAGAGCACTTTAACCGTTGGTCTTTGGTTTGAGGCCAATAAATCACTGTAGAGTCAACATGTCAGGTAAGATGACAGGCGTGTATAGAAACCAAAAGGTGGGAAGTCGTTTAAAAAAGCCAACGTGGGAAATCACATTCAGATATCAAACGTGGACTGAGTGAGGGCTGAAGGTGAAGTAAGGTCAGAAATGACTGCAGGTGAGTTTGTGAACCGTCTGTCAAGGATCAGCCGGCAAACAAAAGAAAAAAAGTTCTTTTGTTTTTTTTCAAACTTTTTTGAGATAATATATATATATAATTTTTCCATGTACTGTTGGATTTGCTTCACTGTTGTTTACTTATATAAACGATATACACTCTTTTTGTCTACCTTCCCTCCTGACTGTCTGCTGGTCCATCAGTGTCATCATAATCACCTGCGTCCTGTGACTACACATATACAGTACAGGTATATACAGTATATACAGTACCTGTCTCCTTACACAGTAGGGTTTAAGGAAGCGAACGACATGACTTTAAGAACGTAAGAGTTAAACTAATGTTTCTGTTAAAAAGACTAAAATGACGCGGAAAGGTCTCAATCATTTTCAACCACTACGAGAAAATCACAGAGAGACAGAAGTTAACTGTCGCGTCAGTAACGCTTACTTCAGTAACAAAAATAGAGATGGTAGACATAGAGACTAGGGTCTCTATGTCCTCTGGATAAAAACCGGTTTCCCCCTCAACAAGCGTACATTTATTCTTATTTAATTACTCATGCAGCAGGTTTTAATTTTTCTAAATTTCAGTTAGACGTTGGCCTATTCATAAAACAACCGTAACATTTAATTTCACTGACAGGTGTTTTGCTGCCACCTGCTGACCAATTGATTCGTTTTCATTAATGTATAATAATTCAAAATTCAAGTGACAATTGTGTGAAAAAAATGAAATTGCAAAAGGAATTTCAGAATATACATAGACTTCTTTTACTTTTTAACAATTTATTTCTGTTTATAACGGCATTATTTCAAGCACTGACTGGATGACACCTTGTGGTATGTTTAATAACTCTCAATAACTAGCAAAAAGTTCCATCTTTTCCTTTACTTATCAACGCTAAACAACCTTTAGCTCTCTTCATCCACCTGTACAACAATTTAAACTCAAATAAGTATTCTCGCATGTTGTGTTAAGTAATAAACGGTTTTTCAACTTTTATTATTAAAGACAACAATTTTCATTAATTTTCTTTTAAATATGCAGTATAATGCAATAAAAAAAAGCTTTTTAATCATTACAAAACAGTCACACAGGGTACCACAACTTAATTCAAACACAGGAAAACAAGAACAATTTTCTATGAACTGTTGTTTTCTTACTGTGAACAAACTGGTCACTTTGAACATTACTAAATTGGGACCACATCACCATCAACGGTCTGCAACTAAGTAGAATAACTGTTTTGTTGTCGTTAACAAAACAATAACCTCCTCAAAACTCTTTTCTTTTCTTTTATGTTCTCTTGCAGTGACATAAAATGACCATGTCATGAAAATCTGTTTAATCTGAACACTGAATCCCCAATGAACGAGTGAAACTACTACAACCCATTCTCTCACCTAAAGCACTGTGGTACAATTTGAAGATTGCGTTTTCTTTTCTGTCTGTGTCATGTAACAATGAAAGTTTTGGATGGTGACACGTGAGATGTATACAACTGTCTGTTTATCCAGGTAAAAACACAAATCAGGCATTTTCCAAAAATAATAAAGAAAAAGAAAAAAAATGTTTTTTACTGTGAATAGCTGGGTTGGTATTGACAGCAGGTGTACACAGATAGAAATCTAGGTATTTAACGTATTCTAAACAAAAACAAAGTAACACCAATGTAGTCCACAATGACTGACAGTGAAGTCTGGAAACTACTGGGTAAACGGTTGTGGGTAAATAAATTCAAGTTGGAGGGTTGAGCTCAGAATAGCAAAGGGTAGGTCCCTGAGTGTGAACTCCTGATGAATCCTGGGAGTTCACAATAACCATGAGCCATTCAGATGACAGCAACAAACTGTAGAGGAGTTCTCTAAGGTTTAGGCATGAAAACTGAACGACCATCTGTCCTGTACCAACTTAAACAACAAAAAAAAACATGCTCATGTTAAGTGGGTCAGTCGCCATCACTGAACATTTGACTATTTACAAAAACACAACAGGACTTTTGGCACTGTAACTTGGACTGTCTCACTATTGCGCAAGTTATTCAGAAACTAAAGATTTCAAGTTTCAAAACAAAAAACACTTGCCATAAATGCTGCTAACACATAAATAAAGGGTTATGGAATTGACTCAACACCACTTCTATGACAAGGGAAAAGCTCAGAGGTAAATATATGACATTTTCCAATTCAAGGTTTTTAGGGAAAAAAAGTGAGATGACTCAAATCCATTACATTTCTAATGAATTAATTAAATGTAAATTTCCGAATGACGCAACTGCAGAGGGGGTAATTTTGACTAAACAGACATGACAGGTGACCTGGCATGAGTCGATGACTATTATCTGGACTACATTTACTTTATGAAACTACAGTAGGCAGGATCTGTATCGGCCACACTAACAAATAATAACCTCATAACCTTTGAGCATAAGTTAGATGAAGTGGTTTGTAAATAAACAAAATGATGCAGATCATCTAGGCTTTGACCAATCACACAGCACATCACAGAAAGCAGACAGACCTACTGGCAGTAACAACATTATATCAAACACAGGCAGCATCTTGGCACCGGCTGCAAGCACTGAAAACAAAACACAGAGGGGGAAAAAATGTAAAATCGTCAACCGGCAGACATGGAGAGATTGTCTCAGGTCATTTGTGAAGTATAGAACAAGAGAATCAGCTGCCGTCCAAGAAGTGTTTACATATGAATTTGCTTTTTTCTAACCTTTACTGTTTCCTGCCTACTGCAGTTCGACTATCCTACAGCACTGACATTGTTATTGCTGACTAAATGACTGTACAGTGAGTGAAAATAGTGAATGACACAAAGGTTGCCCTGTAATAACTGTTGTATCACTGAGCTGCCTCCCTTGTTTCAGTCTGACTGAAAGGCAAAAATTAGAATAGAAAAGCCGCAAATAACAGTAAAATCAAGGATACATGTTTTTGCTTTTGTATGTAGAGGAAAAGTCTTTTTCACAGAGAGACTTCTTACTGGCAACTGTCCATTCACATGTGAGTATGTACAGTGGCTTGAAAAAGTATTCATACCCCTTGAACTTTCCCACATTTTCTCACGTTCCGACCACAAACATAAATATATTTTATTGGCATTTTAGATAAAAGATTAACATAAAGCAACACACAATTGTGAAGTAGAAGGAAAATTATACATGACTTTAAATTGTTTTTAGAAATAAAAAACTGAAAAATGTGGCGTGCAAAAGTATTCAGCCCCCTTTTCTCTGAGTGCAACCAGTTGCCTTCAGAGGTTGCCTGATGATTGCTGAATGATCAGCTGTTGACCTACTGATTAAATAGAGTCCACCTGTGTGTAATCTAACCTTAGTATAAATACACCTGTTCTGTGACAGCCTCAGACGTTTGCTAAGAGGACACTGGTCAGTGAACAGCATCATGAAGTCAAAGGAACACACCAAACAGGTCAGGGATAAAGTTGTGGAGAAGTTTAAAGCAGGGTTAGGTTATAAAAAGATTTCCCAAGCTTTGAACATCTCACGAAGCACTGTTCAATCCATCATCAAGAAAAAGAAGGAAAGAGTATGGCACAACTGCAAACCTACCAAGACATGGCCGTCCACCAAAACTTACATGCAGAACAAGGAGAGCACTGATCAGAGACATAGCCAAGACACCCACGGTAACTCTGGAGGAGCTGCAGAGATCCACAGCTCAGGTGGGGGAGTCTGTCCATAGGACGACAGTTAGCCGCGCACTGCACAAATCTGGCTTTTATGGAAGAGTGGCAAGAAGAAAGCCATTGTTGAAAGAAAGCCATAAGAAGTCTCGTTTGCAGTTTGCCAGAAGCCATGTGGGGGACACAGCAAATGTGTGGAAGAAGGTGCTCTGGTCAGATGAGACCAAGGTGGAACTTTTTGGTCTAAATTCAAAACGTTATGTGTGGAGGAAAACTAACACTGCACATTACTCTCAACACACCATCCCCACTGTCAAACATGGTGGTGGCTGCATCATGTTGTGGGGCTGCTTTTCTTCAGCAGGGACAGGGAAGCTGGTCAGAGTTGATGCACCATTTGGTGGCACCAAACACAGGACAATCCTGGAAGACAACCTGCTGGAATCTGCAAAAGACTTGAGAATGGGGCGGAGGTTCACCTTCCAGCAGGACAACGACCCTAAACATAAAGCCAGAGCTACAATGGAATGGTTTAAAACAAAACATATTCCTGTGTTAGAATGGCCCAGTCAAAGTCCAGACCTAAATCCTATTGAGAATCTGTGGCAAGATCTGAAAATTGCTGTTCACAAACGCTCTCCATCTAATCTTGCTAAACTTGAACTGTTCTGCAAAGAAGAATGGGCAAAAATACCAGTCTCTAGATGTGCAAAGCTGGTAGAGACATACCCCAAAAGACTTGCAGCTGTAATTGCAGCGAAAGGTGGTTCCACCAAGTATTGACAAAGGGGGCTGAATACTTTTGCACGCCACATTTTTCAGTTTTTTATTTCTAAAAACAATTTAAAGTCATATATAATTTTCCTTCTACTTCACAATTGTGTGTCGCTTTATGTTGATCTTTTATCTAAAATGCCAATAAAATGTATTTATGTTTGTGGTCGGAACGTGACAGAATGTGGGAAAGTTCAAGGGGTATGAATACTTTTTCAAGCCACTGTAGCAAAGACCTGATTTGGGTCAAAGCTCTTTCTCTTCTTTCACACAGTATTTTTGCGTTCACACCAACCAGACAACACGCAAGTCACATGTTCACATGAGCACACTAATTGGTATAAATCATCTTTGAAAACTGAAGTTCTCCCCATCTAAAACTACTGAACTTCTAATGGGCTGAGTGTAGGAGTTGGCTTTATGAAAACAACTGTCGGCACACCCCGTGCCTCCATCAAATCAACTCGCAAAAACACTAGGACTCCATAAATGTGCACATTTATACCAATTTGGAAGGTTCTGTGAGAAACTTGGCATGTGACACAGCCAACCTTTACATGTGTAGTCCAGAATATCAAAAAGGCCATAAAACAGGCCCAAGAAGGTCCACTGGGACAATAGACTGTATATAACATATAGATGTAGCCTTCCTGTCAATCAAAACATAGTGAAGACCAAGTGGCAGTAGGAGACAATATGAGAACAAAAGTCTTTAAGAAAAAGTGTCCGTCACCTTTATCCACTGGAGTTTATGGTTCCACTCTCTAATTTCAGTTATCTAATAGGAAAACTTCAGCCTAAATTATTCACATGGGGGTTTGTCAAGAGACAGGAAAGCTACGTCCATTTATGATCTACTGTCTATGAAGTGAGCTGCCGCTCAGTCAAGTGAAATAATGTCTGAAATGATGTCAGTCCCGCCTCTAGCTCCGCCTCCTCCTGTGATGACCCGGGTTTCATGGAGGGAGCCGGCAGCGTGGACACTGGGTTCATAATGACTGCCGGAAGACACCAGGGCGGCACTTGTGCTGGCAACAGCTGTGCTCTGCTTGCTGCTGGCCAAGTTGTCAAGAAACATTTGAGGATGGTAATGCTGAATAGGAAAAACCAAACAGAAGGTTCTGAGATTAAATGGTAATCCTGCCTTGGCTATAATTTATAGATGTAAGCAACAAAGTTAAATTAACAATTTTACCTTGTTTCCATTAACTATGTTTGTAGTATCTAAGTGTTTGAGTGAAAATCAACAACATCACACTATGGCAGCTTATACTTCAGTAGAAGGGAAAAACCTACCTGAGGATCTGCTTGTATTAAGGAAAACAAATCCAGACCTAACGATGACACAGAGAAGATTTTTTTCTTAATTATTTTAGACAGCCTCACATAAAGAAGTGAGAAGGTTTCTACTGCTGTGCAGTGGACTCACCCTGCATCTCTGCTGGGATGCTGGACAGTGGGGACTGATGAAAGGGAACTGCATAGTCAGTTAAGGGAGAAGTCAGATAGGTCGGGTCCAAAGGCTGGACATTAGGCATGTGCACAGTGGGCTGGAACGCTAACACTCTGAGCACAAAGAAAGAACACTCTTAGCATAAGGAGAGTTGTAAACCACCATCCCTCCAGTACAGCATATTTTTAATCAGAGACTCCAACTCTTTAAAAACTTTATACCACCACTTACCTTATCCTTAGTCTGCACAATAATTAAATATAAACATACACACCATCATCTCAAATAGGCTTCAAACAAGACACCGTCCACCTGTGAGGCAACATTACAAGCCACTACCCAACGGTGTGGCCACTAAAACATAATCCAAGCTGTAAGATCAACATTGGTTATTTGTTTGCAGGTTCTAAAACCTACGACACAGGGGCGCGGTCTTACCCTTTTGTATGGACTTGCTCATTCTTGGAAAGGTATACGCAGCGTTTCTTCAGAGGGGGAGCTGTGTCCTCTTCATCAGAGGAAGAGGAGGAGCTTTCTAGCGTGAGATCGATCACATCGGCCTTCTTGGTGGAGGTGGGTTCAGTAGGAGAGGCCACGGATGTTTGTCGCACTGGAGCTAAAATACAGAGTACTTAGTAATGACATTCTTAGTACAAAATAACTATTTTTTGGACCAGTATTAGACTAAAAAAAGCACTTGTTGGCAGAAACGTTTTACACCATGACCATGTGTTATATCAACATAATTACCCTCAATTTTTGGAAGTGACTGGGAGTGGACCTTGACCGACTCTTTTTTTGGTCTCATGGGACACCATGTTCCATTTTCCTGAAACTTGATCTCATCCACATCTGAGCAGTCGCTCAGGATTTCCAGGAATAAACTAAATAAAAACATATCTTTATTGATTCCTAATCCACAAAAATAATGACTTAACCTTGTACTTTTTTGTTGCAACTTTAATAATACTATGACTTTTTGTTTATTTAGTTGATTTTAACAAAAGACACAAGTGCATCAACAATAGTGAGACCAACCCGTCAATGATGAGGCTCTCATAAGTGGCCTTCTTGTCACACACAGGACAGATCCAGGTGGGTTTCTTCTCATTCATCTGAAGGTAGAGCGCGGCATCAAAACACTGCAGGTGAGAGCAGGTCACTGCTCTGCATGGCACCGTCAGCCTCATCTTTCCCAACTGTATCACAACACAATAGAATAAGTTCAAAATATAGAAGTTTTGTAAACCTTTGTAAGAAAAACTTGGTTTTTGGATTTTTTTGTGACATATGTAAATACAAATGTTGGTCAAAAAATACATGGAAAAAAAACGGTAATGACGACTGGGATTCAGAAGGCACATTATCCCAGTGAAAAATTCCTTCACTTACTGGACACATCAGTGAGACCCGGAGGCTGGTTGTAGCAATCTCACTGTCTGGATCTGCCGTCAACTTCTCTTTAACTAAAACACAGAATGGAGAAGCAGATGAAATACAAAACCTTTTCGAGGCACAGAAGGTCCCCCACTATGTTAAGTCTCAGGAATTTACTGATGAGTATCACCTCATATCTAAGATCAATCAAAACTTCTCTCAAGTGCAGGTTTTAAGTTTATCTGTACTGAATGTAATGATGGACCATGTAATTACTTAGGGCTCTGGAGTGATCTGGGTTTCTGATGCCCTTCATCCTCAGCCTCTGCAGCAGCAGCGGCGATGTCAGCTGTCTCACCAGGTACACAGACATGGAATAGGTCTGAAAAAACAACCCGCGGGTAACAGTAATGATGTTTTAAATCCAAGAAAAAGAGAAAACGCAGGTTTACAATATAGTTTTTGTTATTCTCACCTTTCCAATTTCAGGAGCCCATGTGACCGAAATCTGATTGGGTACAGCAGACGAAAGTCGGACAAGCGATGTGATGTTCAGAGGTCTACCTGGTCTCTTCTGTTCAACGCCATTTTTTGGAGGAGGTGCATAACCCTAAAAGTAAAACAAGGTCTTGGAATCCATGCAACAGAAAGAATATAATTTGTTCATACTGTAATTACACTGTGAAACTTACTGGCAGAGGAAAAAGCTTTCCATTAACCTTTATACACAGACTGTTTGGGTAATTATCCTCTTGAGGACAACTTGTTTCTGACAAGCAAAACCTACAAACACAAAAAAAAGCTTAATGTACAGAGTCTCCTTAAAAAACATCGAAGGTCTTTCATTTATTCCACGACAATGTACACCTTACAATATTGTGATGTCAACAGTGTTGACCATTATAATTGCAAATGCATATCATTATATGCAATACAATTGTAACAGCTTTTGTTATACATCTTTACACATACCTCTTCTACAGAAAGAAGATCAGAAAACTGCTTTACATAACCATAGCAATGGTTTAAGAGTGAGACAGAAATGTCTGCTGGTAACACACTAAAGTTGCATATACATCAGGCGCAAAGCAAATAGAATATCCTTCCACAGCTAGGAGTGGTAGCATGCCTGGAGCTACCAAGTGCAAAGTGAGGGGCGTGTGTCGCAGGATCATTAAAATAACTGGAATTTTGAAATAAGAATGACTCACTTTGGGAGGCATTCAGAGTTTTCCAAATTATTGTAAAACTTCTACTTATTTATCAAAATCTGTCACTCAAAGAGTAAACCAACACTGCAGAGATGTGTACCAAAACCCTGATCAAGTCAACATGGCTTAAAATCTCTCATAACAGAGTAACAGATTGTTTTTAATGATAAAATCTTATTTTATTTTACTCTACTTTATACAGAAATGAATTTATCAAGCAGATATGGACCTCATAAAAAATTACTAATGTATCCTTACTTTAAATAATTAATCATATTTTGATAGCACTTGAAAAGATCTGGCCACTCACCTCAGCTGAATTTGTACCATATAATCTCTTCTGCCACCTGGTAAAAAGTCCCTGCACACAAAACAGCTCTTGTCAATCAATGGTATTAACACCATTACAGCCACTTGCTCTAAAACAAATGTTTCTACGGTTCAGTCCTACCTGGATATGCATACTTCTCGAACTTGCTGTGGTGTCAGAGCAAAGATAAAATATTTCTCTTGGTGGTACCTCTGTGCAGTGCTTGCTCCTGCAATACAATTAATTCATTTTTAGGTTTAGAGAGGTACATACTGTATGTTAAATATATGCTCATGGTAACTTAATTTGTTTTACTGTAAGGTGAAAATAAAGAGGAATTCAACCCAGAGTTGGTAACGATAAAAGTGTAAAGGCACCAAGTATTTTTACCGATGACTTACTTTACTTATGATACTCAGATCCCTGTTCAAACAGAGCATTATGGTAACACATTAATAGCTCAGTATTTAATGTGTGCTATTCAAATATATTTACACATTCATTTTTGGCATATCAGCAAATAATAAGCTTTCCTACTACAATATGTTTTTACATTTAGACAGAAATGTAAAAATACATGATTGCTTTTATATAGAATTCCACACACCGGTACAATTGTGCCATATTAAAAGTAATATTAAATAAATATGAAATTATGTGATATTCTCAATCAACAACACAGACCTAAGCTGGAAGGCTTGATCAGGACGTCCAGCATATCATAGAAGGGCAGTGGCTTCATCTGTACATCAGGATGGACGGGCGGGATGATGGGTCCTGGCTGCTGGAGATTCATATTGGTTCTCAAGTTTTGCCTTGCAGATATTTCACCGCTGAACAGGAAAAAGTCTGGTTCACAAGATGGACTTCTGTTAAATGAAATATTAGCATTAACTTCAGTTTCATTTTCAAGTTACCACTGTTATTCATAACAGTAACTCTTAAAAACAGAGACAGAGATATTTAGTGAAGGAATTCAGAATCAACTCATTATCATGTAGAAGTTTATTATTATTATTATAAAGGACTGCTAAATCAATTTATTGATTGATTTGTGAAGACTAATCCAAATACATTTGAACACATTTTAATGTGGGCCAAATTATTGTTGCTTATTTCCACTATATATTTAGTTAAAAGCCTTCCTTTCTAGAATGTAAATTAAACAAATACAATATAGGAAATTATGTCGGATACTGTGAGGATGACCAAATGTATTTCTACACTTATCAAAGGATGATAACATAACCAAAACAGTCTAATGGGGACAAAGTCCACTCTCTGGTAAATTTGTTATTGAAACAGGAAGAACAGAAAATGGCAATGGTTAATCACAAGTACATTTGTTTCTCAGAAGGTGGGACTTGTAAATGTAGCCAAGCATAGCAACTGTTTGTATGGAATAAACAAATGACAAAAGCTTAATATTTCTACAGGCTCTCACTGATGTTTTGAAACAACTGAGGTCAGAAATGGCTAAAAACACCACCAACTCACCAACTGTGAGAAGCTGAATTTTGTGTATTGAGTTTGATACTTACTGCATATTTTTCTTGTCGTTTTTCTTTACTAAGTATAGCAACACTTGGATTAGTCACAAAACAGGTGTATAACACAGACATCTATCTGCTTTAATTTGTCCTTCTGTTTCAACAACATACTAACATTTGTGTTGTATTTAAATACGTTATTTTGATATTATATTTTTTAATGGCAGATTGTCGCTATATTATATATGTAATGTGATCATTTTTTAAATTAAAATCTATCTTGACGATTTTATATCATGATTTGTGTACGTGTAAGCAGTACGAGTTCCGCCGCACAAAGTAAACAAACACTCAAACAACTGTAACAGGTGGGAGGAGCAGCTGAACTGTTCCTTCTTTTTTGTTAAAGTATTAGTGAAATTTCTATAAACTGTCCTGTCGATGCTACAACACATTGAAACATTCAAAATTTCCAAAATGATCAGAAAAAACTTTTCTGTTAAGGTAGCACTGTACTCTAGAGCTATTTGTATAAGATTGTTATATTCTGCTGATGCACGCGTCAAATATACATTATTTTACCTTTGACACCAGGGCGAGTTTCGGTACGGATACACCAGTTGTTCGTAAACAAAATAAATGTTTCTGATTTTTTTCGCTTCAACGGTTAGCATTTCAGCTACCGCTCAAAATGTAAACTATGTGAGGCGGTCAATTATGTCCGTGTTTAAAAATGTTATGTTCATAAGTACATCAACCTGCACTTTACGTATTCTGCCAGCACAAGATATTTCCAGTTTAAATAAAGGGAGAAATAACAAATATGAGGTTGTGTTTTTCTTCGCTTACCCGAAAGTCTTCGTTCTTCGCCATCTTGATTTTCCGCTCATCCCGCCCAGCGCGAGTACTTCCGGGTTACCTACCAGCGGCGGGGAACTTCCTAGGACGTTATTTTCTTTCGATCTTGAATACCATAGTAAATATGAATGTGCTACAATCAAAATGTTGTCGTTTTTGAATGGAACGAGAAAAAATAAAGAGGGCACCGATGCTCTGGCAATTAAAACGTCAAAGACTCCGGACTCTTAAGATATTATATTCCTCAGTTTCTATTTAGTTTTACTTCAGTAGAGCTGAAAGAGAAATCTGTTAAAGTAATACTTGGATAACTGGAACTGAACTGCACGATGGTGAGCCTTAGCGCTCTCTAAAGGTCCTGCTCCCAAAATGCTTACCATACCTTTAAGTGCTATTAAAGATTACCCTCTTTTTACTTCTATTATTGTGTCACACCTTGTCCCTCTCAGAATTCTATTGTCCTATTTGTTTTTCAAGATTTACTATCCCAACAATCAAGACTGATTGTAATTAGAACTGTTATTGTAATTTGAAGAACTTTTATTGCAAAGGCAAACAAAAGTCGTTGTACAAGGTGGAATGCCACAGAAAGATGGTTTATCCTGAAGGAGCCTTGAAACGACAGGCCTTACCTAACATTCTTAACAATGTGAAACTTGCCTTTTCAGTGATCTTAGCTATATAATTATGTAGCCTGGTTCCAAACTGAGTTTTCAGTAGTCAGTCAAAAATGCTATACAGCTATAATAACGAGAAAATGTCTTGTACAATTTGGGACCGGCCTGTCTTGTGGGTCCAGGTGACCAGGGGGCAAGGGACATCACAGGTTTATGTAATGCTGGTCATAGAAAAAGACAACTTTGATCCTTTTAAGTGAAATTGTATCCAAAAAAGCTTTGCACTGCAGTAAATATTGTTGTTTATTATGAGAAGACAGCATAGAAACAAAAACAGAAGAGAAATACATATTTGGCGGTGAACATCACATTTGTTCACTAACTTCTCTAACTAAAGTCATTTTCCAGCCAATGTTCGAGCAACATTTCTAATACAGCTGTTCTCCATCCTTAAAAGACCAATATTCCCCTCGCTGTGAATTCTGGGAGCACACTATAGTTTCAAGATGGCAGCGAGCAGGAGGCTGGCCAAGGTAAATCTCCCGATCCCCTTATTTCCATGCAACTAAAGAAGGTAGAGGTGTTGGTTGCGGTTCGTGGGCTTATTTGTTATATACACAGGGTGGTGTTTAGTTATTTCGAGGGAGTTACCGTTTGGTACCGGATATAAACCTAAAATTTGTAAAATGAGAGGTCACAACTGTTCACCCAGCAGCCGACCCAGTATCACCGTTATGTAGCGAAGCACCGGTAAATTAGGTCAGTAAGTCTTGCAGCAAGCTGCCAAAGACGAACAGCTGTCGAACATTTGATTCAACAGCTTACTATGTCTTTAACTTTGGTGTGTGTTTTGGAAATGTGAGCGACGGGGAGTGTTTCTATTACACATCCTTCAGTTTCCTCACACACGGTGTCTGCTAAGCAGCTAAACTGCTAGCTTCAGAGCTTAACGTCAACCAAACATTCTCTCGGGAGTCTGAGATCCATTGTAGGGACACTTGTGGATAATATAAGCCAAGTGTGTTGTTTACCTTGGTTGTGTCTTTGAATGATTTAGACGTACAGCATAGGATTTGTATCGATTTGTAGACAGGCGGCGGGATGTTATGCAAGGTTTTGTATTAACCTGTTCTGTGGGTTAGAACACCAACATAACCAGTTTATCTCTCTCTCACCAATACTTTAATTTACACCAGGCATTTGGTTAAGCGAATCGAACATTTTCAATTTGTCAACATTTCTGAACTTTCAACTTTTCTAACGTCCGCATGCTACCATGTGAACAACATGGATGAAAAGGCTGGAGTGAAAGTAGAAGTATAAGCGTCCATAAAGTGCTGGGGAAATAATTAACTTGATCTCTTTTGACTGTGCATATTTGCCTGCACAAGTCCACGACACACTCTGACGTTTAGGAAAATAATGTTTTTATTCGCTTATGGTCCTGCAGTGTGTGTGAGCATGGTATTCCATTGTATTATTGAGTCAGAACATACATGTATACATGTACTTTGTCAATATTATATACCGCATGAAAAACAACAGATGGTATAATATTAAACCCTATTTCGTTTTAGGATTGTATGTGGTGAGCAAGACATCGGGAGAGGTTAAATTGTTACTTTGACCTATTGGCACATCTCTTTATTATACCGCATGCTTTACTTTTCCATTGTGTGCATGGAAGTTAACATAAAACAAGCAAGGAAATTGCTTGTTCCACATTTGGTGTTTGTTCCTATAGCTGAAAGGAGAAGGAATGAACCAATCCTGATGTATTGTCTGGTAGATCTTTGATAACATAGGATTAAATTAGTTATTAAGTCAAAGTCTTTACTAACTTGCTTATTGAAATTATCTACCTACCAACCCAGCATAAGGATGTGTATAACCTGGGATGGTTTGGACTAAACCTTACACATTTAAGGACTAACTGCAATGTCTACCCACATTTATTCTCCTATTTTCACATCATTGTCTATTACCACTATTTGTACATTTGACATTTTTTTAAAATAATAAATGTTATTAACAAATAATTTTATTGAAAAAAAATTGCTTTCACAACTGTCAGAAAAATATTACCCCATGAACATATTAAACATTACCTTTGTTACACATACTTGTATATACAAAATAAGCTACAGCCATATTTTACTTTATTGGTGGCAAAATTCTAGCCATTTTTCTATTTTGTGTTTAACATACTTATTTCTCACGTTCCTGTACTTTAAACCATCCATCCATACATCCATCTTCAACCGCTTATCCGGGGCCGGGTTGCGGGGGCAACAGTCTGAGCAGGGACACCCAGACTTCCCTCTCCCTCGACACTTCCTCCAGCTCTTCTGGGGGAACCCCAAGGCGTTCCCAGGCCAGCCGAGCGACATAGTCGCTCCAGCGTGTCCTAGGTCTTCCCTTAGGTCTCCTCCCAGAGGGACGACACCCGAGCACCTCCCGAGGAAGGCGTCCGGGGGGCATGCGATGTAAATGCCCAAGCCACCTCAGCTGACTCCTCTCGATGTGGAGGCTCTACTTCGAGCTCCTCTCGTGTGACAGAGCTCCTCACCCTATCTCTAAGGGAGCGCTCTGCCACCCATGCGTAGAAAGCTCATTTCAGCCGCTTGTATCCGGGATCTCGTTCTTTCGGTCATGACCCAAAGCTCATGACCATAGGTGAGGGTAGGAACGTTGATTGACCGGTAAATCGAACGTAGATTGACCGGTAAATCGAGAGCTTCGCCTTTCGGCTCAGCTCCTTCTTCACCACAACGGACCGATACAGCGACCGCATTACTGCGGCCGC